TCTCCCGATGGTTCAAACGTTGACTTGCATGGGCCTGGGTCCTGTGTAGTGGGAGCCTCACACCACCCTAGTGTCACTGAAGAGCTCTGACACTAAGATGTGTTGTTATTGTGGGATGGTTATTGTTCAGAGTCAGTGTTGCCAGCGCTCAATGTGGCCTTGTGTGTGCCCTTAGAATCAGGGACCCTGCCTGCACCGTGCTGAAACAAAGACTCCCCTGGAGTGTGTTGAAAATTAGCGCCCCCTAGCGTGCGCCAGGAGTCAGAGTTCCCCAAGAATCCAGTATCAATGAAGCTATTTTTTATTCTTTATGCTTATGTTCCTCTCTTTCTCTCTACTTATTCTTCTTCTTACAACAGTCTCTTTAGCATTTCTTGCAATGCTGGTTTGTTGGTAATACACTCCTTTAGTCTTTTTTTCTGGGAAGCTGTTTATTTCAAATTCAGTGATAGCCTTGCTGGATAAAGCAGTCTTGGTTTAGATCCTTTCTTTCAATTACTCTGAATAGTTCATACCATCCCTTCTGGCCTGAATAGTTTCTTTTGAGAAATTAGCTGACAGTGTTATGGGAGCTCCCTTATAGGTATCTGACTGTATCTTGCTGCCCTTAAGATTCTCTCTTTGTCTTTAATGTTAACGTGTCTTAATCCACGTCTCTTTATGTTCAACTTGATTGGGAATCTCTGTGCTTCATGAACTGGTGTGACTTTTTTCTTCATTAGATTAGGGAAGATTTCTGTCCTTATTTCTTCAAATAGATAGTTTCGCTATCCATTGCTCCCTTTTTTTTTAAATCTTCACCATAGGATATTTTTTGCATTGATTTTTAGATAGAATGGAAAGGAGGGAATGGGAGAGAGGAGGGAAGTTGAGGGGGGGGAGAGAGAGAGAGAGGGGGAGAGAGAGAGAGAGAGAGAGAGAGAGAGAGAGAGAGATACATTAATGTAAGAGTGACACAGCAATTGCCCCACATACATTGTGATTGAGGCTGGAGAATAAACCTTCACCTCAGGTATGTACCCTTGACAATGAATGGAAACTGCGACCCTTCGGTGCACAGGCCAATGCTCCATCCACTTAACCGCTATGCCTTTCTCACTTTCTTCACCCTCTGGCACCCCTATGATGCAGATGTTTTTCTGTTTCACATTGTCCCAAAATTATCTTAAACTATCTTCATGCTTTTAAAGTGTTTTTTATTTTTACTACTGTAATTGAGTGTTTTTTCTACTTTGTCTTCCATATTGCTGATTTGATCCTGTGCTTCATCCAGCTTACTTTAATCCTCCCAATAATTGATGTCAGATTTAGTATTCTTCATTTACAACTGATTCTTATTCATGGTTTTTATATACTTTTTAATGAGGGTGTAGTTCCCACTAAGTTCCTTCAACATCCTTATAACCATTACTCTGAACTCTATGTAATAAATTGATTATCTCCAGTTAATTTACCTCTTTTTTTTCCCTGGAGTTTCCTGCTTTTCTTTCTTTTGGAGGCTTCTTTGTCTGCCAGTTTAGTTTTCACTTTTTGTTTTTTTCTATTTATTAGAACCGTTATAACTCACAGACTTCATGCCCCACCAACTGAACCACACCAGCCAAGGCTATAGTTATCTTTTTTAAAAAAATTAAATATTTATTGTTCAGATTATTACAGTTGTTCCTCTTTTTTCCCCCCATAGCTCCCCTCCACCCAGTTCCCACCCCACCCTCTGCCCTTACCCACTCCCCACTGTCCTCATCCATAGGTGTATGATTTTTGTCCAGTCTCTTCCCATACCCCCCAAACACCTTTCCCCCCGAGAATTGTCAGTCCACTCACTTTCTATGACCCTGATTCTATTATACTCACCAGTTTATTCTGTTCATCAGATTATGTATTCACTTGATTTTTAGATTCAATGATAGATGTGTTTTTGTTGTTCATAATTTGTATCTTTACCTTTTTTTTCTTCTTCCTCTTCTTAAAGGATACCTTTCAGCATTTCATATAATCCTGGTTTGGTGGTGTTGAACTCCTTTAGCTTTTCCTTATCTGTGAAGCTCTTTATCTGACCTTCACTTCTGAATGATAGCTTTGCTGGATAAAGTAATCTTGGTTGTAGGTTCTTGGCA